TCACTTTGCACTCTTGCTACATTCTTTTAATTTCATCATTATTTGGTATTATTAGAATAATTCACTAAACCAACAACCGAAAAAAACACAGATCCCGACCCCGCGCTTGCGCGGGGGTTATGCAGCTAGTTTCAAAAAAAATTCAAATGCTATGTAGTATGTGTATTTTCATGGGTTGATGTTACGTTACTTATGCAGACGAAGAGAATGGATCAGCCTGTATGTCCGAGAATTCATTTCAAAAGGTTATTGTTTGCATGTTTTGACCCTAGATTTATATTGGATTAGAACGTTTTTGGTCCGTATTGTCATTGTTTCGTTTACAAGAATTTATGTTCCCTGCTTTTGTATATGACCAGGTTTATGAACCATTTAACTTGGATATTAATTTGTAGATTGTAGTCTTGTAGAGCATTTATTTTTCAAAAGTACTAAACTCCATTACTTGGCATTAAGCCACATCACTGGTCTCTTGCTCAACATGATATGGGCTGCGGCGTCCTTGGCCTTTTAAAAGCCCATTTTTATTCCCCCCTGAACTATAGACAAGACTATAATGGAACAGTTGAAGATTATTTGAACAGCACTCTGTGTTTATAAGGCTAATAAGTTTTTCTGCATCGTAGTTCTGTTAGATTATTTGAACAGTCCTGATGTTTTAAAGCATGAACGCAACATCAGATTCATTCACTGGGTTCATCAAAGATATGGAACTCGACATCTATAAAGGAACTACACCTGTTGTATACCCAGAAAAGTCATACTATACGGTAAAGAAATAACCGAGCTTACAGTGACGAAAGAGGAGTTTTAAGTGCTGGTGGTGGTGATAAAGAGTTAGTAGAATTGTCAGTCCAGTTCTTGTCACCCCAGTGCCAAAGCATACTCTCCCAGTAGCAGAAGTCTTCATTACAAGTCTCTAGTCGCTTGTCTTTGATCTTAATCTTCCAATGTCCATCTGTGTAGTTTCCTTTCTCAGCTTGCATCCTGTCCCATTCCAATTGCGCCTTCTGTTTCGATCTCAGCAGACAGAATTTCTGCAAGTTCTCAGGCATGGCGTCGTGCACTTTCCACCAGGTTCTGTGAGCTACATCACTTGCAAACTCCTGCAGAATGTCGACATTCCAGTTGCAGTCGTAGTCTCTGAAGCATAGCCATGGTTTGTTACCAAGGTAATGGAGGACGTAGAGAATAGGAGGATCTGTTCCAAAGAGACGTGTCTTCATCTGCTTTATCTCAGGCTCATCACCTTCCCAGAAATGTTTCAGAAAGTTCATGTGTTTCGGGATCCGATGCCACCACGTGTAGACTTCGTTAAGGTAGCCTTGGTCTCCTCCATTGTACGACACGATCTCATTGATGTGATCCATAAGTAGCTGGAATGTGGAGTTTGATGGCTCAACCACCATCACACCGGAGTTGAAGAGGGTCGCGTTGTTTCCGGTAGCAGATATCTCAGGCATCTCAAAGAGGAAGTCAATGTTCCTAAGGATAAGCATATCAGCATCAATGAAGATGATCTTGTCGTACTCAGTCAATTGCCAAAGACGAAACTTGCTGTAGTTCCATTCGTTATATGCTTCTGCTTCAGCCTTTGGATTCCTTATCCTTTGAATAGAATAGATCTTCCATCCAGCGGCAGCCAGGCCACTTCTATGGTGCTCAGTTATCGAGTCATCAACAAGTATCACCAGGTCTCGCGTAGAGCCAGCCATACGAATGCTCTGTGCCGCTGTTATGGCTCCACATACATAAAAGTTAGCAGAGTGCAATATGGTCGCATATGCTTCTCTCTTTGCACTTGCTGAGTAGAAAGTATCTGCATGAAGAATAAACCAGCCAGGCCGAATGTTTAATGAACATTTTCAGAGTAATACTTCCAGAAATAGGAAAAAAAAAAGTGTGGCATAATTGACGTATGCAGATAGCATCTGGTCGTTAAATATGCCTCATACTACCTCAGGAAGCAGATATGCAATCAAACAAAGAATACAAAGTAAAAAGGTAAAGAAATATAAAACTGATACTGACCTTTTGCTTTAAGTGGAACTGTAAGTTCACAGGAACCAACAGGCAGCTGCACCTTTTGCCTCAACTGGTGAAGGTTGGGCTTGAACAGCCACAGGTTTCCTTGACGGGCAACAAGCTCCTTTCCAATAAAAAGATTAGGAATGGGAAAACATTCAGTAATCAAAAGCACATGCACATCATGAAGCCCTCTAGAAGAAGCAGCAACCCGAGCTGCTGCAAGCTGCAAATGCAATCTAACAACATCCCTTGACCACTTTCCTGCTTTGTTACATGGAAGCTTGACGACAACAAGATCAAGCCGAGGCTTTCCAGGAACTTGAATCCAAGGAAGAGAAGGGCAAGTAGGGACTTCGAACTGTTCCTCTTCATCAATCCATTCAGGGTACAGAGACTCCCAAGTTATGTTACTCGCCATATGGTCTAGACGCAGTGCAACATGGTCACAGTCAGGTATCAGATCCTTCCACTGAGCAATCTCATCATCGTTAAGATTTATAAATCCAACTCCTTGGTACTCGCTCGTTCCAGTCAACTTCTCAACAACGTCTGACATATGGTCCCAGTTTATCTCAGATGTAGAGATGTAACGAGGATCAGATGCACTTGACTCTATCCTCCATCTGTTCACGAAACTAAGAAAGGCCTCAGAAAAAAAACGTGTAAACACTAAGAGATACAAGCATACTTTGAGATGGGATACCTAGAGTTGTTAAAGGAGGGATGATCTGCAATGTGAACAGCTGGTGAACGGTAGAGAGTATAGACGGTTCCGAAGATAATGAGAATCAAAACGATTTTGAGAGTAGAGAATCTGCCAGTCCAGTTTCTAAAGTGAAAGGAGGCGTGTAATCCTCCTCCCTTCTCGAGATCTTTAGCATCTCGGTTTCTCAGAGATCTCCTCTTGTTTGACTCATCGCTATCAGCAAGTGAATACAAATAGAGATCAGTAAGAGAAATTGGAATTCAAGTCACGGAAAGTCAACTTGCTAGAGATATAACTCAAATCACATATAGCACAAGTAATTCAGATGAATCAACAGATACAAGAGTAATTCAGATGAATCAACAGATACAAGAGTCAGATCTCGATGATTCAAGCGAAGATGTTAAAAGAAACCTTGAACAGTCGGAGCTCAAATTGAAGCAATGAACTAGTATAGTGATCCGATACAGTCAAATCCACCGAGTACCTAGCTAACTAGTCTAGTATAGTCGAGAGAGAGAGTGATCGGAAAACGGAAGCGGCGGAGACTTACGTTTGAGTGGATAGTCGGTGCCTTGGCTCAACGGGACTAGGGGAAGGAAGCCTCATACTCTGGGATTGATCAGTCGGAGTAAGTAGCTGCTCCAGCAGCTAGATGGATGAATAGCTTCAGATTCTTCTTCTTCTTCTCTATTTGATTTTCCGAGGAAACTGCCCAGAAAATTAGAGGAGCTTCAAATAATTTCGTCGGTTATATGTTATGCGCTGTGTTATTGACAAGTTGTAACTTTTTTTTTTGGTTGATTCAGTATATAGTGTTGACAAAAAAGAATAATTCAGTATATAGTAATGTTCGACATCTTAAATGAGGCGCTCGTGATCCTAAACCAAATAGCTCTGATATTAAAAAGATCCAATTATAATGCCAGAAATTTTGTGATCTACCTACCATTCTCAATGCTGAGCAATGGCTGAAACGTTTTCGCAAAAAAAAAAAACTCAAAAGAGCAAAGTTTCAGTATTGTTTACATGTCCACGAATGCACACTATCATAACAATAATAAAAGACTTTATCAACTGAAACATATATCAAAGATTCAGAATTTTAACAAGTCTAGTAAGATTTCTCTTTAAGTATGAATAAGATATCTTTATGGGAACTCAACTTTAAAGGGTAGTATTAACATTTGTACCTAAGTTTTCCTTGTCTGATTAATTTCTAATAACTTTACCCTTTAAAATTTTCCTCTTGAGAAAAAATGAAAGCTAAGTGTAATGATTACATAATTAGTTAATGGATATGATATCATAGAGTTACCATAAAAATAAGTTGAATTACAGACTATATAGCTTTATATTTCTTGCGTGAATGCTATTGTTCAGAAGAAGAAGAAGATGGTTCTTCTTCAACAACAGCAGGTTTGCCTTTCTCTCTAAGTTTAGCCATGGATGCTTTCATTGCTTCTTTACGCTTCTTGCTCGCCAATACCTTAGCTTGAACTCCGCTCACTGTCGGATCATTCTTCTCCTTAGGTGGTGGTGGAGGTGGCCGTCTTCCTGCCGCCATTGCCTCCTCCTTACAGTTCAGAGCGTTCCAACTCCACAGCACACCGCCTAACCCCACCACAATCGCCCTGCATAGATATATTCCAAGTAATACATTAATTTCACACTGTATAATCAAATAGAAAACTAACATATTTCATAAAGATTACCATTTACTCTACTTAGGGTCGAATCAGTTTAATTACCTGCGATTAATTTGAGGAACTTGAAGGATGATGGGAGGAGTTTGCGGCCTTGACCGCGGTGATGGAGAGGAGAGGTCGCCGGCGTGAGTAGCCGGTTACAGAGGAGAGAGTGAATGTGTCATGGCTAATCCAACAATGCCTATAAGCAAATGGTGTAACAAAATTTTGGTAGACACTTCATAGAAGATAGAGTGGGATAGTATTGTTGCATTTGCACATTATATCTGCCTGCTCATTGGTTTGATTTGGATAAGACATCAAAACAGACCTTTTTTTGTTTGTCTACCAAGCGAAACAAGACTATCAGGAATCAAAACGCTGCGTTTTCATTCAAATGTGGCTTCTAATTTATTAAAACAGGGTCCTAATTTTTATCTACTTAGAAATGTTGTAATTTAAATTTTGGACTCTTTCAAGTTGGTTACTAAATTTATGGACCCTTTCATATTTGTTACAAAAATACTAAAAACACGCTACTTATATATCCCGTAAACTTCAACTAAACCAATAGATATTCTATTAATAAACCGATTTCGAATCTTAAATTAAACAATACACCTTAATTATCTAATTAACACTATTTTGGATTATCGTTTTCTTTTCTTCAGGTCTTAAAGTGCAACAACATAAGAAAAACAATATTCTTTCATATTTTCGTCCACTTTTCATCTTACTACAAATTCTAACATATATTCTATTACGTTCTCCAGTTTATATTATTATGTGTTAATGTGATCTACTTTCTTACTGTGACACACATTTACATTAAAATCTCTTTCTTTTTTTTTTTTTGACTTACAGAAACATGCCATTATCAACACAATAGTGTCAGTATAGAAGCTTCAGTCATATAGTTATTAAATCATATTCACCATTTCACGTTACAAGAGTTCTGTTTTTTCTTTGTTTATCATACCAAAAAATATAGTTCATGTATACGAGTGATTTGAATATAATTTATATAATGTTTTCATTAAATTTANAAAATATAGTTCATGTATACGAGTGATTTGAATATAATTTATATAATGTTTTCATTAAATTTAAATAAGATTCAAATCTAATAATATTCCAACATATAAACTATAAATCGAATATTCCAACCATGTCTATTCTATTAACTTAGGATCCTAATTTTTTTATCTATGTTTAAGGTTGTAATTAACTTTTGGAATTTTTTTTTAGAATCTAATAATCTTATCATTTAAATAGCACGATCATGTTTGGTTCCTTTAATATATCGACATCACTTAGTATAAACCTACCTCCAAATAAGTAGTACTTCGGTTATCTATAATCTAAAAATAAAATAAGAATACACTATTTGTATTTTTATATTGGGTTAACAATACAAGTATCAACCTTTGTATCACATTCATATTACATTCATTCTAATTTATTAAAACAGGGTCCTAATTTTTATCTACTTAGAAATGTTGTAATTTAAATTTTGGACTCTTTCAAGTTGGTTACTAAATTTATGGACCCTTTCATATTTGTTACAAAAATACTAAAAACACGCTACTTATATATCCCGTAAACTTCAACTAAACCAATAGATATTCTATTAATAAACCGATTTCTAATCTTAAATTAAACAATACACCTTAATTATCTAATTAACACTATTTTGGATTATAGTTTTCTTTTCTTCAGGTCTTAAAGTGCAACAACATAAGAAAAACAATATTCTTTTCATATTTTCGTCCACTTTTCATCTTACTACAAATTCTAACATATATTCTATTACGTTCTCCAGTTTATATTATTATGTGTTAATGTGATCTACTTTCTTACTGTGACACACATTTACATTAAAATCTCTTTCTTTCTTTTTTTTTGACTTACAGAAACATGCCATTATCAACACAATAGTGTCAGTATAGAAGCTTCAGTCATATAGTTATTAAATCATATTCACCATTTCACGTTACAAGAGTTCTGTTTTTTCTTTGTTTATCATACCAAAAAATATAGTTCATGTATACGAGTGATTTGAATATAATTTATATAATGTTTTCATTAAATTTANAAAATATAGTTCATGTATACGAGTGATTTGAATATAATTTATATAATGTTTTCATTAAATTTAAATAAGATTCAAATCTAATAATATTCCAACATATAAACTATAAATCGAATATTCCAACCATGTCTATTCTATTAACTTAGGATCCTAATTTTTTTATCTATGTTTAAGGTTGTAATTAACTTTTGGAATTTTTTTTAGAATCTAATAATCTTATCATTTAAATAGTACGATCATGTTTGGTTCCTTTAATATATCGACATCACTTAGTATAAACCTACCTCCAAATAAGTAGTACTTCGGTTATCTATAATCTAAAAATAAAATAAGAATACACTATTTGTATTTTTATATTGGGTTAACAATACAAGTATCAACCTTTGTATCACATTCATATTACATTCATTATATTCACCCTACATCACTTACACTAAACCATCTTTCTAAAAAGCTTCCCTTTAGTGCGGATTATATTTATTAATATATATAATATTATTTAGGGATGGACGTTCGAATCCGTTTAGATTCAGATCGGTTATTTTAGATTTTTGGGTATTTCGGTAAAGGGAATTAGTATCGGTTCGGGTATTTCTACACTTCAGATCAGATTCGGATATTTTTAATTTGGCTTTTGTTATTTCTGATTGGATTAGGATATTTAGCTTTTGAAAAGAATCAAATTATTTATTTTGCTTATTTTTTTTGTATTTAAAAATATATCTTAATTAACTACACTTCAGATCAGATTCGAATATTTTTAATTTGGCTTTTGTTATTTCTGATTGGATTAGGATATTTAGCTTTTGAAAATAATCAAATTATTTATTTTGCTTAATTTTTTTGTATTTAAAAATATATCTTAATTTACCTGATTTAAATTTTTAATAGGACGATAATATGTTTGGAGACTAAAATATAAAAATATAAAAACATTAACTTGATTATTTTTTTGAAATTTTGGATGCAAATTATTTTTTTGAAATTTTGGATGCAAATTTTGTAAATACATGAAATAATAGCCGAACATGCATTTAGTGAGTAATAATTCATTTTTCCAAAATTGTCTATATATATTATCTGATCTTTAGTCATGTACAATACTAACATAAATATTTTGAAAAAATGAGAAAACTAAACTAGAAATATATAGTTAATTGTACATATGTTCGATTATCTTCGCATATCCATTTAGACCCGGGTATAATCTGTTTGGTATTACCCATCCAATTCATATATTTTCTTTCTTTTAAGTCAAAATCCGTTCGGATATTTTGTTTTTTAGATTCGAATATTTCGGGTCGGATTCAAATACGAATTCAGGTATCGAATAAAGGGCCCAGCCCTTACATTGTTTACCAATTATTTCGAAAATTACTAAATATAACAGACATTTATCAAATGATATTCAATTTGGACATAAAATATATCTTTCGCAATACAACATACACAATGCAATATAGTATATCTCAAATCATCTTATCATGAGTTACGTTTCCTTACATTTTCCCTCAACTCATCATCTAACATGCCATTATGAATAAAGTTCAAAAAGACATGTCATTATGAACAGAACATATCATACAAAAACTCTTATATAGTATAGTACTACTACATAAGACTAATTTGTACATTTTACTTATCAAGATTTTAATGTATGTGATGGTAATTATTAACTGGTCTTATAACAAACTGGTCTAACTAAACCATTGTCCATACCTGGTACAGATAAATTGTCAAATATTTAAAGAAACTAAACCAAATAGGTTAATATATTACCATCACCTGTTATTTCTAACCCTACATAATCCATATATTGTTACTAAAGTTATAATAGCCGCAAATTATGGTCAATATTTATATTGTGTGACTTTCTTTGTTCTTTCCCTATTAATGACTAATAAAAATGAAACTAATCAATAGAAATAAATCCTAACAAATCAATCTATTGGTAGCATATAAATTTAGACGTCATTTCAAAATATTCAAGATATCAAGCATGAAATATTCAAATTATGTTTTTGACACAAATTTACAGGAACAAATACATCTAATATTTATATAAAACCCCAAAAAAGACTTTCAAAACAAATAAATAACCGAATTACAAGCTACACATTCTAAATGAAATCAAGTTTAAAATTACATAACTTTTAAAGATCATTTTATAAAAAGTAATCCCGCGTTTTAACGCGGGTTAGAATCTAGTTATAGTTTATAGTGCAGTGTCTTTTCTTTTTGACAAATTCAAATATTTGAAACTTGACAAGTATGATTAAAAATCATTACAATAATAAGCTCCTTTAGCTGTGTTCAGTCCAAACTATTTCAAATCCATACAAAAGTAAGTAGATCTCAAAACAAACAAATAAAAAGTAAGTATGAGACTTTTGATCTAATTGATCATCACAAACCACCTGAAGTAAAATACAAATACAGAACCTATCTGTACTGTGCACACAAACACATCTTCAACATAAAAAAAAAAACAAAAGAAAAACTGAATCCTTACAGAAAGATGAAGCAATCCAAATCAATCAATGGATTACCAATCTCTTCAAGCATTGGAACAACAGGTTCCACGTGGCTTTCAACTACTTCTTTGATAGTGGTTGTGTTGATCTTAGAACTTATACGATGAATCCTAGTCTCTGATCTGTTGTTCTTAGGAAAAGTCTTGAGACGAGATAGATCTAAGCTATCTTTCCTTAAACTAGTAGAGAGTGAAGTTACCTTCAAGTCTCCCTCTGCCATACCAAATCTCCTGCTTGGAGATGGCGAGCATCTTTCAAATCTCCTGCTTGGAGATGGTGACTTCAAGAACTTTCCCTTGGTTAAAGAATTTGATGAACACATAGCAAACGTTTCTTGATCTTTACGGAAGCTCTTTTGTCGCGTCAACGCACGGTGATTAGGAGATGGCTCTCTGGTTCTCTTTGAACCATATATTACTCTTTCTGGAGTTGCATTTGCTCTGTTTGGTGTTGTTGAATACCGGTTTGGCTTAACCGGGGAATTAGACCGGTTAGGATTCCCTGTTTTTGCGTTTTTCAGAGAAAGAGAAGCTTCTCGTAAGGAACTGATCCGAGCAACATGTGAGTTCTCTTGGTAACAAGCACGCAGGAAGTCGTTAGAGAAACATCTTTCCTTTGACAAAGAGAGTGAAGAGGCCGTAGAAAGTGACGAGCTTGATGAGGTCAGAGAAGAGTTGCTTGTGGTGGAAGGTTGGATGGTGGGAGACAAAGATGCCAACTTAACATGAGGAGAAGGAGGAGGAAGTTTATCTGAGATATGGATAAACTTATCCGGGACAGGGATGGGGTTAAACCGGTTCTTGTCGGGAACAACAAGTGGAGAAACTCGACTTGGACAACGAGACATGAACAGCTTCTCTGGAGCATAACAGTACTTCTCTTGAGGTTCTTCACCTTTCTTGAAATCTTCTGTCTTTGGAGAGAATTTGCTGATGCAACAACCCATTTCTTGGTGTGCGTTTGATTTTTCAAATGTTTTTGAAATATCTGCAGGAGCAAAAGAAAAATAAAACAAAAGGTATTGGTTTAAACAGGAGATGGAGATGCATATTGTATATATATATATATATATATAATGTGTATTTTGTAGACTTTTTTGCTAAGCGTGTCACAAAAAGGGATTTAAGGAAGGAAAAAAGTGGAAGAGAAAAAAAGTGAGGTAAGTTTTGAATTTGGGTTGGCGGGTATTTCGAGTATGAAGCCGTTAGTGTTAACATAAGTCCCATAACAGTGGACTAGTTTTGGGGGCCCAGAGCCATTTATGTGAGTCCATAAACCTATAACATACAACTTCAGGCATGGGTGTGTTAGTTGAGGGTCTGAATCAACAGATGATATAGTACTTAAGGGTTTAAATTGGTTTTGTCAAATATGTCAAACATCTATCTACATCTATCTACATCACTACACTAAACATAATAGGAAGAGTAAACATTTAGTTATGAACATAATTCGTATGTTCAAACCTTAAATTCGTCGTCATTAATCCGATTCATAACCATTCAGCATATGAACTGAAAACTTTCATTTTTTTTCTTAACATTTTATTATGTCATGTGATTTAAATCTTACTTAGATTTTGATACGTGCTTTCAAACACGGATAATATACTGTTTAATCCTAAGTATCTGGATCCTCGAGTCGGATTTGGATTGGGTATTGTCAGCTCCAGGTTTTTCGGGTCCTAAAAATTTGAATCCATAAAGGTATCTATAATTTTTCGGGTCGGTTTCGGATTGAGTCTTGTCGGTTCTATTGATTCGTGTATATTGTCGGGTCGGTTCGAATATTTAGGATCCGAAGGACCCAAACTAGATCCAAAAACGCGAAAATACCTGAAAACTCTAAAAATACCCGAAGAACAGCAAAAATATTCGAAAGTTTATCCAAAATCAGGTCCAAAAATTCAAAAAATACCCGGAATTTTTCTCTGATACCCAAATTATATTTTTTGAAAATCTAAAATTTTACCTAAAACCAAATATTATACCCGATAATCCAAATCTGAAACTTTAAAAAATACATGAATTATCAAAAATATACACAATCACCTAAATATACCTAATATATACAAGAACTTGTGGGTACTTCGGGTACCCGATCAGGTTTCGAGTAGGACCTATTGATATGTTGTGTTTTTGACATATTACACACATACTTTGCATATCATATTTGTGATTTCTTGGAGTATTGTTAGTGTGTTTTGAGTTATTTCATGTGGAGAACGAGTTGGAATGCACCAGAAGGAGCATATGGAAGAAAGAATGCAAAAACCAGAGTTTTCCATCGTGGAGCACCCATGCGGAGCAAACCCGATTTGCTCCCGTTCTTTAATGAGACCTCTGATCTATTTCAGGAAAAAGCAAAAACGCAGCACTCCTCTCTACACTAGCAGGCGTCGTTCTTCTAATAAAAAAACCATGTCCGCCCCTACTCTTTCAGACACATAGCATAGACTAGATTTTACACAAGAAACTTGTTGAGACTTACTGTTGAAGATTTGTTCTAGCTATTTTGTAAAGGGCCAAGGCTTCCTCCTCTTGGTTTCTAGAGAAGAAATCCCTGAACCCTCTTTACACTTTGATTTATCTGATGCATTATTCAGTCATGACTTGTGTGTTCTCTTGTGTTATGATCGAGTAGTCGATTTGTTAGCCTGGGGTTTTAGGGTGTTGATCCATTGAACTGAACGTAGATAAGCATCATTCTTGCCTTTGCTCCCCACTGTTCTTACTACTGATACTAATTTGATCACTTAGTATTTGATTCCAAGTTTAATCTTTTGTCATTAATCCTGAATTAGGTTGCTAGATCTGTTGAGAGCAAGCATCACATCCCTGGTCAGCGAAAGTAGATATCAGGGTGTGATGTGAGCATATTAGGTCTGTGCTTAATGTTTGCTGTCGAGCGTTGATCCACGCGAGAGCATAGGTATCATGCTCTTCCGTGAAAGGAGCACACCTGCGAGAGCAAGGTGTTCTAGTTAAGAAATCTAAGTTCTAGGCTGCACTTAAAGAGCTTGAATAATTGTTTGGTTCATTATGGTTAACATCCAATAAGACACCCTAGGTTGACATCCTTATATCCTGAATTTAAAATTCAATTTTATTATTTGTTTCTCATGATTTTGTTCTTCACAACACTTAATCGTTTTAGCTTGAATTTGATCCTATAGAAATAAAGTGTAATATTTGGTCTTTGTGGATTCGATCCTAAATGCTACATCGACATACCATTTTATTGTCGTAGTGTGCACATTAGGTTAATTGGTGTGCGTTTGCACGTAATATCACCCAGACCCGAACCAAGACCCGCGGGTCCAAACAAAAAATACTCAACATATACTTTAGCATGGACCCGAACCCGAACCTGAACCTGTATTTTTTGGTCGGTTCTTGTTCGGTCTTTGAGTCTGGGTAAAATACCCAGGCTTAATTCTGTTCATGAATTTGTAAACTTACAAATATATAATTTTTGTATATATTTGAAGCCTATTTCGTTGTAAATAAATGTTAAAATTATTGGATTTTTAATGGGCGATTTTCAGTTGGGTTTTTAATGGGCGTTTTTCATTAAAAATAAAGAAGTGGAATATTTTGTATTTTCTTAAAAAAAATCAGGGGTAGAACCTCAAAAGAGATTTTGCTTTAATAGTATAGATATATTCGTATGTCTTGTGATTTAAATCTTAACTAGATTTTAATCTGTACGGCTATTTAAAAATATACATTATATGTTTATTGTACATATATTGTGATATTAGCATTAAATTGTTATTTGTAGTGAATGTTATTTTGTTTTATTGTATACTAACTATATACAGTATTTAATGTGATTTTATATCTTTACTTTTAGCTTATCTACAACTATTAGTATCACAATAAGTAACTATTTGAATTTTTATTTATTTTTATATCAGTTATATATTATTAATGTATATTAATATTTTAAATTATGAAAATAATTATATATAATAGAAATGAACTATTTATTTTTGGATAGAAAAAAATGATATGTTTTATTATTTATGAAATGGTAAAAATAGTTGTATATCATATTATTTGTAGCAATTTATATATATATATATATATGTGTGTGTGTGTGTGTGTGTGTATAATTAGTTACTGATAAAATTAATTAATTGTGTACTTTAAGGAAGAATTTGTTAAAATATATTGTCTTTGAACCAATCATTAATATTGACCATAAATAAATTAATTGATTGTATCATTAAAAAGTACTCCATCCGTTCCACTTTGGTTGTCGTTTTAGTTTTGTGCACATGGATTAATAAAATATTTAATTTTACATATTTTTCAGATGAATACACAATGACTTACATACGTAACCACATTTCAACTAATAGAAAAATAGAATCACATATAAAGGTAAGAAATTTTGCATTGAAATTATAAACGATATTTATTTTATGATGACAAGTAAAATAAAACGGAAAAGTATTTGTTAAGATTAATTAATACTAAAAATTAGGATTAATTAATTTTTAGTGGTATTAGACATAATTAAAATCTTATTTTAAAAGTTAGTTTATATTGGTATTTCAACTTTAATAAGATAGATAATCATTGATTTTCTGTTTGAAAAAAAAAACTGAATCCTGTTTATTTACAATTAATATATCCTAAACCAAATGTTTTTAAAATTGTATCTAATTCATGTTACATATATAATTCGGTTTAGTGATGTTCTCAAAAATTACATTAGTGTCATTATTAAATAGTACTGGGTTAATTAGATGTTGGCACTTAATTTAAGAATCTTGGTTTACTAATCCTCTTTTTATTATTTTGAGAACATTTTTACTTCATGTGTTTATTATAAGCATGTCATTTCCTACATGACAACTACACAAGCTCTCTTACCTCTTTTAGTTAAAAAGTTTTTAGTTAACTAGAATAATTACTTAACATGTCATTGCTCAAAACATTATTATTTATGTCATAATGTTTTGGACAACAATGCGCATAATTATATATGGCACATAGCAATTAATAAATTACCTTAACATATTATACTGATATGAAAAGAAATATAATGTTATGACTCACGAGATGATAAGCGGTGTCAAATATATATTGAACTACTTTTTTATTCAACATGAATATAGAATGATTTTGTTAGATGTTTTTCTACGATTTATTCAAAATATAGATCGTTATGTATAGGTGCCTACCATCTTTATAATATAAGTACAAATAAAAATCGTAAGTGATATCACCTTATTTCATAAGTTCGTATTGCCAATGCTCATATGTTTAAATTTTATATATTCCAAAAGATCAACGTACAAAAGAATCATTATCAACCAATTTCATTATGTTTACTTGATTTGTTAATAATTTTTCAATATATAATGCATAGCCTTTTTGTTTATGACAACCTTCTTCTATCAACGTCACATATCTAATATATAAACTCATTATAGGGTATAGTTATATTGAATATAACAAAAGAAGTATTTAGCTATAACCTTGACCGGTTAGCTACGAATTTATTATCTAATACTATAAAGAAGGCTTCTCTATCATTTTAGAGTGCCATGTCACTAATAGGAGGATTATTGTGTTGACATGTGGAGCTCTAACAAAACGCTGACGTTTATTGCAAACGTTTTGTTTATGGGCTTCAATTTATTATACATTCATTTCGTATGGGCCTTAGAGTTCTGGTCTATTTGTGTTACGTGAAACTCCTCAGACTCACTAGGGTTACTCTCCTACCTTTGTCGCCGTCGAGAAAATTCCTCAGAGCTTTCATGGCGTCTTTTCGTTTTCTCAACGTTTGCAGCATTGATCTTGCCATTAACTCACCACACACGATCCCTACTACAAATTCACTCTCGCTTCTCACAGTCGGCGAGTTTTTCAGTATAAAAAGGTAAGCTATGATATCTTAAAAATCATTCTCAACCCTCACAATTCATAGTCATCTCATAGTATCCCCTCAAATGGCTAACACTAGAGTCTTCTTCTCCGATTTGAAGTCCGGCCGGTG